ATCTTACTAGGCTCAACCACAAAAAAAAAACTACTCTTTTGGAAGCGGAAGCTCTTCGGAGTGGGGATAGAAAGCCCTAAGGTGGGTGGGTTGTACGAGACGGACATGATGCCAGGGGCAGCCATTTCCTGGAGAGTGAACTCGACAGTGTTATAGTCCCCCTGAAGTAGATAAAGCATGGAATTGACCAATATTATAATAAGATCCCCATATACCCCACATTCTATCTACTTAAGGGGGACTGTAACCCCAAGTCTACATTCCAAGCCTTGAACCCAACATCGCAATCTCCTACACCTCAGAAAGCTGAGCTTCCCAGCATGTGAAGCTTCTCATATCAGAGCAGATTAAGCAGCATGCTCAGAAACATGTTTGATATACTTCAGTCGAATATAATGCTCGTCCTCGTAAGCTGAAAATGGGAGAAAAATTCAGTAGACGATGATGACATATGGTGTCATTTGAGATGCCACCTTTTTTGCTTCAAAGTAATGTCATAGTTGTTGCTATGACTTCACGTGACTATTTAGTTTATATATACATATATATATATATATATATGAGAATCCCACCCGCTAATAATACTCCCCACCCCCCACCCCGCATGATGAATACTTGGATGGTCAGTGGGGTTTAGTAAGTCGGTTAATAATGGGGATTACTACATCTGGTTTATAGGGGCTACTAACCTACCTGCTAAAGTTCCCCTACCCTCCAGGTATCCCCACTTACGGCCCTAAACCAGCAAGCCTAAAACCCAAACTTTAAACTGAAAACCCTAAACCTTAAACCCTAAACCCTAAACCCTAAGCTTTAAACCCTAAACCCTAAGCTGTAGACCCTAAACCCTCAAACTGTGCCTTCCAATTGAGGCCTTGAGGTGCTTGGCTTGGAAGCCGTGGGACCTCGGCTCGGGGCCTCAATCCTTCCTTCCCAGATGAGTTTAGGGTTTTAGGGTTTAGGGTTTGGGGTTAAGGGGGTTTTGGGGTAGTATTTCATTTGGGGATATTATGGCACCCAATAATGGAGAATCAAATGGAAAAGAAAATGGAAAATGAAGTGGAAGCTGGGATTATATAGGGGTTATATTATATTATAGCTCTAGAATTTTTATTTGGGGATACTATGGTACCCAATCTAGAGTAAGATCATATCCTCCTTTTGGGGTATAGAACTGTATAATAAGGAATATGATCTTACTGGGTTTAACCACCAACAAAGACACTACTCAGATGCCTGGGGAGGATCTAGAAGTTAGAGCCCCCCAAGGGGGCATAGGGGTTAGGATTTTAGGCTTTTAGGGTTTAGGGTTTGTATAAGGATTAGGGCCTAGGGCGTAGGTATCTACGGGTTTTTTCTCTAGGAGGATCTAGAAAGTAGAGCCCGAAGGGGGCATAGGGGTTGCGCAAGGTTTAGGGTTTAAGGCTTCGGTTTTATAAGAATATATAGATGTATATTACGATGCTGGAGATCACACGGAAGATGAAGTGGAAACTGGGACCATTCTGGTATTAAATCCTGTTATCAGGTAATTTGAAGGAACCCTCTTTCTAGATGCTCCCAGGGGTGTGGGTGGGTCATTAGCCTAAACCCTGAACTCGAAGATGTAGAGCGATATATAGAGATATTAAAGGCCTGGGAGTCGAAGGTTTGGGGTGTAGGTCTCGACCCGCCAACCTGAAGGATAGAGGCTATGGGTTTTTTCAGGGTTAAGAGTTTAGGTGAAACTGTTATACTTACTAAACCCAGAAAGGGTATGACGCCACAGCTTTAAGCATGAAATATAGGGTCTCAACACCCAATGAGAGTATAGTCCTCCTTAAGTAGATAGAGTATGGGGCATATGGGTCTTTCATGGTTTTGGGGAATTCCATATTCTATCTCCTTAAGGAGGACGGTAGTATGAAGTGAAAGTTTTCACTAACCTCCCAACAGGGAGCCTGACCCTGGCGGCGCAGAGGGAACGTCAGGGAAAATGTGCTTGGGGTCTAGGGCTTAGGGTTTGGGGTTTAGGGTTTAGGGGGAGTGTGCAAGTGTATGGAACAGCTTGGCGAGGTTTTTGCTTTGGGCGTTCGAAGTTGTTGTTTGTATTTTGTTGGGCCATTCCCCCTCACAGTACCGGCCTTTGAGGGCTTTTACGAAGGGAGTATCACAACTTCTATTACCCCAGCTGGTAACAACCGCTGAATAAGCAAGGGCCTGTAATACAACCTGAAAACCTAAACCCCGAACCCTTATCTTGAGCAATGGGTTCTGAACCCCTAAACCTTAAAATCAGGCAGATGCCCACGCGGCCTGAGAACCCTACTTGGATCGCGGTAATCATAACCCGAAGAGGTTTGTACAGGGGTTATAGAAGGGTTCTATTGGGTTCGAGGGGTGAAAGGCATGTTTAAGGTTGGGGTGCCCAAGCGTAGTTAAAGGGAGCTCTATAAATCACGGGGTTCCCCACTCTAAACCTTAAAGACTAAACTCCAAACCCTACACCCTTAACCCTGTGTTTTTGGGGCTTTGAGAACTTTGGAACGTCAAAGGCAGCTCAAGGCAATCTTCAACTCGGGGTTTAGGGTTTATAGGGTTCAGGAGGATTTAGGGTTCAGGGTTCAACTTTTCGGGTTTAGGTAGATCCCCAAGGAAAACGCTGGGCTCCCTTTCATCTCCTTTGAGGGAAAGTTTCTTAGGGGGTCGATCCCACTTGAATGGCCCTACATGTACTGTGGACAAGGGTCCGGGGCTTCGGGAGCACCACCGTAAACACTTTAATTTAAAAAAACCTGTAGATTGGGGAGCTCAAGTGGTGCAAGGTTTTCTCCATCCACCCTGAGACCCTGAGAATCTATAGTCCCCCTTAAGTAGATAGAACATGGCTTTGGCTATATTAGAATAAGATCCCCATATACCCCACATTCTGTCTACTTAAGGGGGACTATACCCAAAACCCTAAACCCAAAACCCTAAATAATAGTTTCCATTTTCTTTTCCATTATCCCCATATAACCCCTATAAAGCCCTAATATCCTATCTACTTAAGGGGGACTATACCTTGTAGACAGAATGGCCGAGGCCTCCACCAGAAGCTGCCAAAGTTGCAGGCTATGGAGGGTGATTAGGGTTTAGGGGGTTTAGGGGGTTTAGGGGGTTTTGGGGGTGTAGAGGGTTTAAGGGGGTTTAGGGGGTTTTGGGGGTGTAGAGGGTTTAAGGGGTTTAGGGTTGAGGGCGTTTAGGGTTTGGGGTTTAGGGTTTAGGGTCTGGATCTGGGGTAGTTTTAGGGTTCAGGGTCTAGACTGGATCGTGGCGAGCGTTCAGATTTGAGGCCTAAGGGTTCAGGGAGCCATGGGATTCCGGATCAGGGTTCCATTATGGTTTCTTTGCGTGCTCTGAGGATTGTGGTACATAGCACCACCCCCTCCCCCCACCCCCAGCCAAAAAAAACAGCAAAGGAACACACAGAAATTCGGGCCTTTTTATTGTCGCATGACGATAGCAGGGTCCTTGTCCTTGGGGTTGGCGTTCCCCAAGTCAATACATACTCGGATACCCCCAGTTTGTATTTCATTTCCATTTTCCTTTCCATGCCGTCCACAGTGATGCTAGCCATAAGATCCCTATCCCAACTCCTCATTTGCTGGTGTGCCTCTCGCTTCTGGCGGCACAGTCTATGCGCCCGCATGGACATGTAGGCAATCCTGCGATTTTTCAATGGCCATCCTTCAGGGCCGGTTGGACGATCCACCCGTGGAGGCCGAGCGCTGCGAGACAAACTCTGGTGCCAGCCAAAGGTAGCAAACCTCGCGTTGTCATCTGCACCCCCTGGCGCGGTTTTCTTCGCTCGTCACATGGCAGGTCTTGCACCGGGTCTCTTTGGCCACTAGCGGGGCAACACGCAGTCTGCTTCACCTAACAGATGTCGTTTTTCTGTGAGGCCCTGCTTCTTGATGTGTAGCAGTTCATCAAGAATGACAAGCGGCTAATTGGCAGAAGCCATGGCAAGCACGCTACCTTTAAACGTCCCGAGTTTGACTAGCGTGGAAGGAGGCAGTGGCCTTTCCTCCGTACATCCTAAGCATCTTACCAAAGGGATGGGCGAACCTCAGACCCCCAAATTAGGACCCTACCACTATCATATCACATTCCTTTTCTTATACTAGGATCCGAGCTTTGTGGTTTGGGTAACCAAGCTCTTCGCATTATTGTAGGAGTTTTTCCTCTGCGTGCTGAGGTCCTGGTTCTGGTATTCACGGGTCACCTACTTAGCCCCCATACCACCCGCCCTCGGGTTCCGCCTTAGGCTTACCTAGAAATGTATTTGGCTAATCTGATCAGCCTTATAGAACAAATCAGGAGTAATGAGAGGGGACCCCATCGGGGGCAGTATACCGGGCGGTGGTTAGGGAGCCCATAATGTGCCAAAGTTACCCTTTTCCCAAATTGACATCGAACCCTAAAAGGTGCGCATAAACCTTCTGAAAAAAGGCCCTTCTACTAAACAGTAAACCCCTAAGCCCTAAACACTAAACCCAGTTCTATGAACTTGTGGGAAGGTAGCTTCTCAGCACCCGCAAGAACCCATGCTGTAGCAGCCTTTCCTTGTGCGGCTTGGAGGTTACCTCCAGAATCCTGTGACTTGGGTTGTAGAGGGACCCTGATCCCTCGCCTTTGGCTGGCTTGTACCTACTTGTAGGACTTCTGGCTCTGCAACGTTGATTCTGGTTGGTTTTGGCTGCGCAAACTTTAGCGAGCTCAAAAGAGGTCACCCTAGGCTAAAGCTGTCGATGGGGATATAAACCAAAGTAGCCTTAATCAGGGAGGTAAATTAACATAGCTTGCCTAGTCTCAGGTGGAAAAAAGATGTGCTACATTGAAGATTCCGCACGTGAACGCATGAATTGCAGGCATGACGTCAGAATGCTTACCTGTGGATAGCAAGGATGAAAGCATGGATCCTTATAAACAATCACCAAGAATACAGTAGTTTGGTTCTCCATTATGGTAATTATGTTTTCCTGTCCCTGCTTGCCAGGTAAGTCCTTAACCCAAAATCTTAATGAAGATGCGAGGGTTGATCTAAAGGTCCTTTTGGGCGGTTCTTCAGTGCTCCTGTAGCACTGTAGGGATAAGATAGGGAACATCAGTTCCATCATGGCCATGTTGGGAACAGGAATTTTGATCAACTACCATACATCTTAGAAGCCCAACCCTAAACTCTAAACCCCAAACCCTGAGCCCCTAAACCCTGAAGCCTAAAGCTTTAACCCTAAACCCTAAACCTCCACAGCCAGAGCGCCAAGCCTGTGCACCTCAAAAAGTCCAAGTGCCAAGCCGTGGAAATCCAATCTCATACTTTTGTGAAGGAATGGAAAAGCAAATGGACACCTCTGTAATGGGCTTAGGGTTTGGGGTTTAGAAGGAATGGAAAAGAAAATGGAAACTACTATGATAATGGGTTATATTGGCACTACTATAAGGATCATGTTAGGGATCCTTTATACTTTTTCGGGCGCGGGATTCTTGATATTCATGCAATAAGGAGCCATTACATACCCCAATATAGTATAACCCTTCTTATATATAGGCACACCCACAAGAAAATGACCGCGCATTTTTTTTTGGTAGCCCCCACTCCTCTCAGACAAGCCTGGGGAGAAGCAGCGTGAAAAGAAGCACCGAGAGGCCCTGAAGCCCTTGCGGTTTAGGGTTTAGGGTTTATCTTAAAAATGGGGGGGGTATAATAGGGGCTATATGGGAGTATTTAAGGATAATGGAAAAGAAAATCGAAACTACTATGTAGGGTTTAGGGTTTATTAAAGTTTTTTTAAATTAATGGCGAAGCATTCAGGGTTGGTTTTCCGGGGGTCCAAGGATTGTATGTGGGTCATTCATGTGGCGCTTACTGCGGAAGTCAATAGCGATGTAGCTGTCAGGTTTTGTAGCGAAGCTATCGGTAGCAGGCGGGTTGAAGGAAGGGGTGTGGGCCGAAGATGCAGGGAGTTGTTAGGACCTGACAAAGCCCCATAGTCCCCCTTAAGCAGAAAGAATATGGCTTTGGGTCTATTGAAATAAGATCCCCATATACCCCATACTCTATCTACTTAAAGGGGGACTATAAACTTTAGGAAGTCCGAAGGGGACGCCATCTCAGGCGGTACCCATGTCAGTAGATCCTGGCGGACTGAGAGAGTATGAGGAAGGGAACCCCTGTATAAAGCCCAAGCCATGAACCCCAAATTCTACCTCTTAGGGCTAGGGTTTAGGGTTTAGGGTTTAGGGCTTAGAGTTTAGTGGAGTTCCTTTTTGGGTTTACATGGTTGCCAAGTTCAGTTCTGACTTTTTTGGCTAAATGTATAATCTTGGACGTAGGGAAACCCCAAACCGTCCTAGCATCTTGTCCTGCAAGCGTGTCAGCAGGAGGTGTTCTGGCGCTTGAGATGTCTGTGTCCCAGAGCCCTGTAGACAATTAAGACCCCAAAGTCCAGAGAAACGCGTTCAACATCGAACCCCAAACTTCAGCACATAATCCACGCACCCGCGCAGAGATGTTAACTTAGTTTGAACAAAACCGTAAGCCCTGAACTTCTTAACTCTTTTTAGGATGTCTCGGCGGGCCCCTGAAGACTCAGCAGAGCATTGGGAAGGTACAAAGCCTCCGAGTGCGCGTGCGTGGCACAACAGAAGAGGCTCACCTTTTTGAAAGATCTACTTGCGAGTTTCTCAAACTCCCATTCCCTTCGGAATAGGTTATTCTTTAAAAGCGTTGTTTTCATCATGGGTCTAAGGGAATTGCAGTACGTGGGTGTGTCTCAAAAACAATCATCACATACCCCTGAAGAGGGACACTACAATCTTTTTGTACTTCTGGCATATGGCAAACGGCTTTCTGAGGAAGGACATGTCTCGACATCTGGGGCTCAGCATTCAGGATTCAGGTTTCAGGTTTCAGGGCCTGGAATGTTGGAGTTAGGATGGATGGAGGAAATCTTGCACCACTTACTGTACTTCTCGGGCTATATGGTATAAAGGCTGGTGCAAGGTTTCCTCCCCCCATTATTGGAGATTCTGAGAGCTTCTGGTGTTCTGGGTTTACGGTTTGAGGTTTTCTGTCCCAGCAGAAGGTTTCAAGGTATGGGAATATACTATAGTCACTCATACCTTGTGTTATGGATAAATAATAGCATGTTTTCGTAGCACCCCTAAACCCGAAACCCCTAAACCCCTTCGTAGTCCTTATGGGGAAGAGCAGGATCCAATCCCAAGATATCCCTACGATCCCGAAGGTATCCCTTTTCTTGACAACTTCCCACAACTTACCTGGGTTTAGCATGCAGGGCTCCCTAATCTGAATTCACATAGAAGAGTCCTTGAATTCCTCAAGCCCTAAGCCCTAAATCCTAAGCCCTAAACCCTAAACCCTAGAATTCCTCAATAACATGCAGGCTTTCTCAAACCTGAGCTCTAAACATGTAACATTCTTGATGCCCTGGGTTTAGGATTTATGGGGTTTAGGGGTTAGGGGTTTAGGGGTTTAGGGCTTCAGATTTCCATGAATTCTTATGTACACACAAAAACCCTAGAGCCTACCTAAGGTCAAAACCTGGGGCCCCGAGTATGGGCCCTCTTCATGAACCTATTATACACACCCTCGCAATTCTCTTTGCTGTCTTACTGATGCTGAAATGGGAGTGACGGAGTGTTTCCCGATGATAATTCCTGCCAAATCTCCTTGAATGGTAGCTCTACTCACTCCCCCACTCCTCCTGAAGAACCGCCTAAACCATAGAAGTCCTGAAACCCTAAGAGCTACATCCTAAACCCAAGAAGGAACCCTAAACCGTCAACCCGAGAAGTCATTAGTTCCCTCCACCTTACACTGAACACCGCATTATAACGATTTTTTACCTTCCCCCACATATGTATGTGATGGTATTAGATTCGGGACATCTATTCTTAGGGGGGTGGCCGCGGGGTTTATCATTGGGGGAGGTGATTGCAACCCTAAACCCTAAACCTTAAACCCGGAATCCTAAACTCTAAACCCTGAACCCTAAACTCTAAACCCAAAACCCTAGACCCTAAATAGTAATTTCCATGTTTATTTTCCATTATCCCAATATAACCCCCCAAACCGAGTCCTGACCAGTTCCAGCTTCAGAAGCTGCAGCGGATCCGCGCGAGCCTGACAACTCCGGGCTCTCAGGAGTGGGTTTTAGGGTTCAGGGGCTTAGGGATTAGGGGTTAGGGTTTAGGGTTTTAGGGTTTAGGGATTTTAGGGTTTAGGGTTTTTAGGGTTTAGGGATTAGGGTTTTAGGGTTCAGGCTTTTTAGGGCTTAGGATTCAGGCTTTTTAGGGCTTAGGGATTAAGAGGAGTGGAGGGAGCAGGGTACAGGGTTTTGCGTTTAGGGTTCAGGGTTTATAGAGTTGAGGGATTGAGGTTGAGGGGTAAGGGCTTGGGGTTGAAGGATTACGGTTCAGGGTCTTGGGTTTAGGGTTTAGAGCCTCGGGTTTCGGTTGTTTTGGGATGGTACTTTGGTAACCGAAGCAAAGATGCTATAGCTATCGTGTGACTTTAACAGGGTGCTTTTTCTTGGGGGTTGGAATTGCCAATCTCCTCTTACTGGAGAAGTTTACCTCTGGTTCACGCGCTTCATTGAGCCTGTAGTGCTTACACGTCCTCTGGGTCTGTAGCTCAAGGTTTGCAGGGTTCGTGTGATTGATAGTGCCGAGAGGGTGCTCGGAAACCCAAGACAATCTAGAAATGCTAGCGTCTGGAGAGCTTGTAGACGGACAGGAGGGTCAGGCAAAGGAGACCGTAAACCTAAAACCCTAAACCCCAAACGCCAAACTGCAAACCCTAAGCCCTAAACCCAAATTCCCGTGTCAGATGGAGCGTGGTTGCGTGTGAGCAGGGCAGGTTTGGAACAGATGCAGGGGCCAACGCTGTTCGATCACCTTTCTAGGATTCCAGGTTATATAGTCCCCCTTAAGTAGAATACAGGGGTTATTTAGGGCTTCTATGGGGGCTATATTGGGATAATTGAAAAGAAAATCCAAACAACAACAATGGGTTTAGGGTTTAGGGTATAGGGTTAACGCGATAGTAGCTAGAGCCTTTAGGGTCTGTCTAGGGTTTAGGGTTTAGGTTTTATGTTTAGGATTCCGGCTGTAGGGTTTAGGCTTTAGAGATTCCAGCCTACAGTCTTTAACTGTCGGCAGGTCTACAGTAACTAGTGTGTTGCGTGCTACATTTAGGATTGCCTGTCCCCGCACAGCCTTCAAGTTAGGCCCTGACACCGCATGGTCGCATTGACCTCACGCCCTACCAAGACCAAATGTAGTTCCGTTTGGAGTTTAATCGAGTTCTTGGGTTACGGATGTCATCAGGACTGCCAAAAAGGTACTACAGTGGAGGGTCTAGGTACACCTTACACATCCCATCCTTCATTCATACCGACTGCCCGGAATTAGGAGCTTGGGATGATGTGCGGCAGGGGGTAGGGCTACAGGTTTCAAAGTGCTCAAAAGGTGGGATGAAGGAAGGTGGGGTATAGGAAATAAGCCCCAATATGGTAGAGCAGTATATACTAAGGATCCTTAAGCCCACCTACCTTCATCCCATCTTTTGAGCCCTCAAGGTTACTTCAGGGCTCAGCGTTTAGGGCTTTGGGCCTTGGGTCTGGGGTTCAGAGCTTGGGCCTTGGCGTTTAGGCCTTCGAGTTGAGGCATTGGTTACAGTTCTATGGGTTATACCTGCTAACTAAGGATTCTTCATCCGGATATGAACCCTAAAACCCTTAAGCCCTGAAACCCTAAACCTGAACCCTAAACCCTAAACCCTAAACCCTAAACCCTAGACCCCAAAACCCTAAGTTACGCTTTTGAGAAATTCTCGCGAGACAGTTTGCCCGCAGGACGTGGAATCCAGCGAGCTGAGCCGGTTCCGGCCTCTGCGCCGTTGGAGCTATAGTCGAAGCTCCTTAAAGGGGGTTAGTATATAGGGGCTTATATAGGGGACTACTATAGGGGTTATTGGGTGATAGTCTAAGCTCCTTAAAGGGGGTTAGTATACAGGGGATTATAACTATATTGCTATAGGGGTTATTGGGTGGGATACTAGGAGTTTAGACTATGGCTCATTTAGGGTGCAGGGTTGTTGCCCCGAGGCACGAGGGGCTAGCTGCAGGGCTAAGCAGACTCCTAACCGTGTACTTGACGCCTTAGATCTGCCAAAATCTTTGAACGATCTGCAAGAATGGCTTGCCCCTGCTGATTCCCATTTCCCCAAACTTGAAGCTCACGACGTTAACACATAGTTGCCTTCTGGTACTTCACATGGTTCATTTTGAGGTTTTCAGGATGGGGGTGGCGATGGTATTAGGGGAGGTGATGCAAACGATCGTGATATCCTGCCCCTGTGTGGTCCTTTGGGAGTTCCACCCCGAGCGCCCAGTTCAGGGTTTAGAGTTTGTATGATGTTTCAACAATCCTCCGAAAACGATGATGTCAACAAGGGTGTGAGGTGCAAATAAGGATGGAATCCTACCCCCAACCTGATCATGGAATTCCATATTACACAGACAAGTATCCAGAGGCTGCAGACTGTGCTTGTTTGGGTCACTGCGCCCTAAACACTAAACCCGAAGCCCCAAACCCTAAGCCCCAAACCCTACACCCCTAAACCCTAAACCCTAAACCCAATCCCTAAATCCAAACCCTAAACCCCAAACCCTAAACCCCTAAACCCTACACCCCTAAACCCCAAACCCTGAGCCCTCAACCTTGAGGAACTCAGCCCTGTCTATTTCAGGCATTGGACCATTCGTCTACCCTGGGCTGAGGCCGCTAAGAAGCCTGTGGCTGAGGCCGGGAAAGATGTTTTTTTGAGGGTTTGGGTTTATTCAGGGCTTGCCTTACGTTTTGTTTAGGAAGTTCAATGGGAAGCATGGCTTATAGCTTGACAGGAGACCTCTTCTCTTCATGCGGGCCCAATCTACCTGGAAAGATGCTGTGCAACAGATTGTCATTGCAGGAGCATTCCAGGCACTAGAGTGAACCCTTGATGCTGAGGTGTTTCATGGAACATCATGCTTCCGCGTTGAGGGTTGGCAGTTTCTCTGTGGTGTTTGTCCAAGCTTATCAGATGATCAGCTCCTTGGAGTGCGGGCTTTAGAGCCCTTATCATAAAATATCGAAGGTCGGAACTTATCACAACAACGGAGACGAATCCCACTTCAAGGAGGTGGGACGTGTTGTCGGGGTGTGTCCTGTGAAAAGCTAACTAAGTAGGGCTCAGAGCAGATTCAGTGTCTAGTGCTCTGTAGAGTAGAGATCAGATCTACGTGGAGGGCCGCTGGACTCAGCAAGTCTTGGACAGTTTACTGTATTAGGCTCCTAAACCCCAAGCCCTAACCCACTATTGCAGGGGTCGGGGTCTACCTACTCTACGTTTCTAAGGGGGCATTGCCGGACGGCCATGCTCTTATGGTTTGAGGACTGGTAAACTGGTAACAGGGCCGGAAGCTTTGGATCACCTTTTCTAATAAGGGAATCAGGGCCGGAAGCTTTGGACACCTTTTCTAATAAGGGAATACACTCCCTACATAATCCCTCTATAGTTTCTTCCCTTATTCGCTACTACACCCCAATAAAGTGTTTTCCGAGATTGCAGTGCTTGTTGAGGAGGACCACAATTCAGCAGCCCCCTCCAAATTCCAGGCTACCTTGAGGTCCTAAACCTTAAGTCCTAAGCCCTAAACCCTAAGCCCTACACATTAAGCCTTATAAGGCCCCAATTCCTGAACCCTAAAACAATCGCTGTGCGATTCTCCGCGTTGGTGATACTAGCGCCAGGGATGCAAAGTGCAATCCCATCAGTGGGGTTACAGTGGAACAAGGGAAAACAAAATGGTAACTACTACTTAGGGTTTAGGGTTTTAGGGCTAAGGGTTCAAGGTTCCCTTGATCAACCATCGTGTCCTTCATTTTCTTATGTACCAGGACCCCGGATATTAGGTAAAATGGTAAGAGTGTTTAGTTTTTTGTTGTCTGGTCTTTTTTGTTGTTTGGGCTTTTCAGGTGTTATTTTTTTT